TCTTGTGCCCAATAATGCATAATTTCATTTGATAAACACGTTTAGATTGAATGGTAATTTATAATCAGTCACAAGAACGTCGAATCTGAATCACTTGAAAAAACACGGGGGGTGCTTAACTTTTTTCCAGGTGTATATATTATCTAAAATACAAAGACAGACATACATATATCTTATTGGCTATATATGTCTGTTTGATATTTTGGTAATAGGAGTACATCTACCTAGTTCGTTTACTTAATCTTTTACTTTGAGGACTGAGAAGAAACACGAGTCCTTCTTCTTTCAATTTCTATGGAGATGATATTTACATTAGGGTTTGAAATGAAGGCTGTCACTTAGTAAGCGAAGACTTTCAGGAACTCACAAAGAAAGAGAGTATACATGTTTATTAATCACCATCCTGCTTGTAAGACCGTCTACGGCTCTTTCTGGCGTTTCAACTCAGCCTTGTTGAATTTTTGCATTTGAAATTATTTTTTAAATTCGTCCCCACTTTTCAATTAAATCTCTACTAAATCTTTGTCTCGTTTTGAAAATAGTCGTTTAACATACTGCTATTTCTTTTCTCGATGTATACAAACACAATTGAATTACATCTAGTGTCCTCGAAATGTGAATCTACAATGGTAGAACATTTAAGGTGACGTTCGAAACATAGTTTGTTTGTTCTAGAAAGTAAGATTTCTAACTGATTAGCAATGCACTTATTGACATTTTTGATATTGCGTGACTTATTATTCAGCACATTAAGATGTACAGAATAGACCCTAAATGGGCAAAACAAACTTAAATAGATACATTATCGATGTAAAATATTATGTGTTCATTTATATGTACCAGAAAACATAAGATGTACATACATATATCTTTGGATGGTAATATAAAATATGCAAATAGCCAACAAATAATTTTTGAAGCAAAACCACATTGGGCTATCTTCTGGGTCCATCGCGGGAATCAAACCCTGGATTATAATTTTGTAAGTCGGGAAATATTTTATTGTGAGCAGCATTGCGATTTGGATAATCCCTGATATTTCTATTATTGAATAAATTCTCATGCTATGTATACGTTATTCTACAGGCAACATTTTGGATGTAGTACAACCTGATAGCATTGTCACTTCTTCGGAAGACAGCTCTACTGTTTCAGGTAAGTCTTTTATATTTTATGAATTAAAAGTATTTTTTTGGAAAACCTATTCGATAAGTACGCTTATGCATCATGTTCATACAAGTTTCATTTCCTTAAAACATATTTCAGTTCCGACTCAAGTACCTGCTTAACATATGATTCAGTTCTACAGTCTGGTCATACAGGTTTCAATTCTATCTGGTGCAAACATTTTGCAATCTGTTCACACTGTTCTTTGGTAATTTATGCAATCTGGTTCCATAAATCTCAGCTACATATGGATTATATGTCTGTCAAATAGAAAATATAATTATTCGACAATTGTCAGAATTTAAAGGCTTTTGCTTATACTTATTAATAGTATAAATATATACTATGTTGTTTTTCGGCTTAGGATTCTTCTACAGTAGGTGTCTGATAAATTCAACGATGAATAAACAACACGCACTTCACTTATTTTCAAAGTAATATATATATATATATATACATATGTATATATATTCAGAACAAGTTAACGTATGTACAATAAATTATTCAACATTATAGATGTTATGGACATACCATAAATACTATATATATGTAGTTCTCT